GTGGGACCGCACCGTGAACCTGTGTTACCGGTCTGCTCTAGGAGCACAGCTGGAGCCAGAGAGGAAAGAGCAGCAGCCACCACTCCCGCGTCGCTGCGTCTGGTACCTGAACTCGGCCTGGGTGAAGAACACCTCACACTGCTCAGGTCAGGTCACCTTGCAGACAGGCCTCCTACCGGGAGGCGCTCCTCCACCCGTGGCCTCCAGCCTCCTCACGGTGAAACGCTCACCTCCTTCATGCGTGGGCCTGGATGTCCGTGTTTTCAGCAGCAGCTGTCCTGCTCTGAACCGCTTTACGTACGTAGTGTCGTTTATCCCTACGCAACATCCCGTGCTACACTGCGAGTGGACCTTCCGCCTGCAGCTTTTTGGAACCCCAAAACACCACTTCCTCCAGAGTAGCACAGACACGGACAGTAGTCGCCTAAGAAACACCGCACGTTTTGTCCGTCGCTCTGCTTCACCCTTTGACCCAGAGGAACACGCTGGGTTTGTGACAAAAGTGACCTGTACCACCAGTGCGCTTCCACCAGCTCTTTTGAGAGTCAGAGTCAACAACTATGAAAAAACCACAGAAGCACCAGTATCTTGTCAGAAAGACGCCTGTTACATACACACCGTTCGGATTCAGAAGCCTGCTCTCCAAACCTCGATCCTGCACCAGAAAAGGGGGACGTCTTTTTACCTTTTTGTCAGGTTGCTAGTGGACTGCAACGTTGGTATATCTATCAAGCCCTTGTGGCGAATCTATCCTGTCCAGAACATGACAACTATTCCAGACTGGGAAAAACCCATGAACTCTTCTTCGATGTATGGCGTGGAAATGATACACTTAACCGTTCCCAGTTTTACTTTAGATTACGGACTGTACCTGTTCTATTTCACCGTTGAGATAAACCCAGTTAGGACCAAAATAATCCTCAAGGGCTCAGATAAAGTTTACGTTCAGATTGAGAGAAGCGATCTCGTGGCAAATATTGCAGGAGGCGTGTTCCGCACGGTGGGTTTTTCTGATAGCTGGACTCTTGATGGCTCTGCATCCTACGATCCTGATTCACAGGAAGGACTCAAGGGAATCACCTTTACTTGGTACTGCACCAAAGAGGCGTCTGACTATAGAAACATGATAGTCAGTCCAGGAAAGAAATGCCACCCGGACCAGAGGGATTTGAAATGGTTAACACCCTCCGGTCCAGTTCAAGCAGTGGCACCAGAATCCCTCCCGGGAAACGCCATTTACTACTTCCGTCTAGGGATCCAAAAGGACAGAAGGACGAGCTACGCTGACCAGACTGTAGATGTGCAGCCTGGCTCCCCACTCCTTCTGGGCGTGACGTGCCTTGAAAACTGTGGCACCAGTCTAATTCCAACAGAGAGATTTATCTTGTCTGGAAAATGCCTGAACTGCGCAACAAAGAACCGGCCAACCTACTACTGGTCCCTTTTGTCAGAAAACTCTACAGAAATCAGCTTTGACTGGTCTTCCAGAACCTCAACAGGGAGGTTTGGGGCTTACCTGTCCATACACGCTCTGACTTTTACAAAGACTTCACGCAGATCTTACATACTTCTGTTAAAAGTAACGACCTGGGATGGTAGGTCCTCAACCTACAAACACCCGTTTAAGGTAAACTCTCCTCCTAGGGCTGGCAAGTGTACCATCAACCCACGGCAGGGCACGGCCCTTCTGACCAAGTTTGTCGTCGAGTGCCGCGGATTTTCCGACAGCAATCTGCCTCTGATGTATAAAGTGATTGTAGCTTCTGATGTACCCAAAACTACCAAAATAACTTCTGTGGAGGAGAATACCTTTGGCACAGTTCTGTACCTCGGTTACCAGCCTAGAACTCCTCCATCTTTCCTCCCCGTCGGAGTGCCCTCTCAGAAGTACACCTTGACCCTGTACGTGCAGGTGCGTGACTCCCTCGGGGCGTTTACTCAGGTGAACTTGGAGGTGCAGGTGCGGAGCCCCCTGGACAGCCAGCCCCCCGCCGCGGTGTTCCAGCAGCTCCTGGCCTCGGTGAGCGGCACCAGCGCCCCGATGACGGCGTATCTCCAGACCGGAGATTATTTTAACGCCGGCTACTTGGCTTACACGGCAGCCTCAGTCTTAAACTACATTAAAGCTGCAGCAACTCTCCAGCTCCCTAAGGCTCTGTTTCGGGAAAGCCTGATTAAAGCAGCCCTGAATATTTCAGTTGAGAGCACAACAGAAGTCAACCAGGTAGTCGCTTCTCTTCGTCAAGTCACCGAGGAAGCCGATGAAGTGACCCTTAGGTCACAGGACCTTGCCCTCAGTAAACTGACGGAAGTAACGGGAGCACTGAAGACGCAGAGGAAGGAGAGCCACTGGTCTGAGGAAGCAGAAATTCAGACCAGTGGAATACTCAGCTGCTTATCCAACATCCTGAGGGCTGCCCTTCTGCGGCGCCGCAACGTCAATGTCAACGGAGTTAAGCAAATCTTCTCCATCATGGAAAATTTAACAGAGATAGTTTTCCAGGGCAAAGTCCCTGGAGAAACAGAAACTCTGATGGAAACAAAACAATGGAATATCACGCTGAATAAAGATGAAACCTGGAACATGACAAACACTTTCTCCACCAGCAATTGCACAAATTGCTTTTATCCATCACTGAAAAAGGGAAACGATTCGGGACTGCACCACGATGCTGTGATTTCCACTGCTGTCTTTGAGTTTGATGAGAACCCCTTCCCTTGGTTAGGTTACACATCAGAAATCAAAACAACGGTCTTGGGCTTTAAAATGGCAGAGACCAAGGCTAACGGGGATCTACAGGGGATCATGCCTGAAGGAGCAGAGATTACTATTGCTAGGAAAGATAAGGAATCCTCAACTTTTCCATTGGCGATAGGACCCGATAAAACACGAACTTACACAACTGGAGGCTTTAGTTTCGAAGTGGACAGAAATGCCAAGAGCACCTACATCCAGATCCTGACAAAATTAAAAGTTACTTTCAAGGTGCTAATATTTAAAGGCACCAATGTCACTCACGCTCAGCCCATAGCCTCATTTTCTGCTTTTCACAACAAGCCAACTGTCGGCAGCAAGAACGAGACGGCTGGCGCTGACTGCAGGACTAAGGCTCCCTATATTGTCTGTCTCCCAGAGTCACTGCTGACAGCCACAGCCCCAGGCAGTGGTGCAGGCACTCACAATATCTCCATTGTCTTGGTGACAACCTACATGGTAAGGTATCCGACCCAGGGGCTGGTGAGCATCCATGTTTTCAGTGATCAGTGTTTATTTCTGGATGGGGTTCAAAGTCTGTGGAGGGAAGACACGTGTGGGCTGGGCTCCTTGACTGACTGGCAGAGGGTCCACTGTGTCTGTGATATGAAGCAGAGTTACATAACTCCCTCAGTCCACACGGCATCAGATGTATCCAGGTTTGACATCAGGTTCCTGGCAGCCAAAGTAATAGTCATCCCCAACATGATAGATCTGAGAGACATCCTGATAGCAGACATACCTAAAAACCCAGTGACCTTCTTAACAGTGGTCTTCATTTTTGCCGTCTACCTTCTCATGGCCTGCTGGGCCATCAGAAAAGACAGGGCTGACGGGGACAGCAAGGACAAGGTTACAGTTCTGTTGGACAATGACCCCTTTGATAAAGTGAGCTTTTTGGTCACCTTATACACAGGCAGCCGCTGGGGGGCTGGAACCAAAGCAGATGTCTTTCTGCAGCTCATTGGCCAGAACGGTGTGAGTGATGTCCATTGTTTACAGCACCCACATTCCCCCTCTTTCCAACGAGGAAGCACTGATCACTTTCTGTTAACGACCAAGGAAGATCTGGGAGATATTTATTCTCTCAGGATCTGGCACAATAACCAGGGCCCGTCTCCAAGCTGGTTCTTAAGCAGAGCCACAGTTAAGAATATGTCCACTGGGAAGACCTGGGTCTTTATGTGCAGGAAATGGCTCTCTCTTGAAAAGGGCGAACGCCTCCTAGAACAGACATTTTCTGTCACAAACCTCGAGGCACCTCTGCCCAGAATCGACTATTTTTTAATTAATCTTGCTCACAGACTGAAGGAGGGCCACCTGTGGCTCTCCATTTTTGCTCGTGTTCCTCCTAGCAGTTTCAGCAGGTTCCAAAGGTTGTCTTCGTGTTTAGCAATATTATTATTAAACTTTCTTTTTAACATCATGTTCTTCAATGCTGAAAAGAACGAAGAATCTCCAATGCACTTGAGGTATGTGAGAACACTCATAGTAGGAATTGAATGTGCTTTGGTTACTGTGCCTGTGGAAATTCTTATAACTGCCTTATTTAAGTATTCCCAGAGGGAAGCTTCTCTTCATAGTGTGGCTCAGATGGACCCAAAGCAGCCTGGAAATCTTAAGAACTGGAAGGAAAGTTCACAGAAATCTTCCCTTCCAGAAACTTCAGCACACTCGAGTAGTATTATTCCCTTGGAGAACCTTCCTGGTCACAGCAGCTCACAGAGCCCGCCATACTCCAGAAGGGCAACGAGCAAGGGAGCTCCCCAAAACTGCACAGTTTCCGAAAGAGAGGCAAACGTAATAGAAACAGAGGAGCAGACAGGAGCTGCACATTCCCCCCCGACAGCTGAGGCCTGCCAGAGGAGGGCACTGTCGTATTCCGACGGCAGCACTAACGGTGCAGAAGAAGGGGAGGGCGTTCAGGCAGAGAGGAAGCCCTGCGGGGGGGTGCGCTGGTGGTGCCTCTGTCTCCCATGGGCACTCATTATAGCTGTCAGTGGGCTATCGGCATCCTTCATTGTGTCCTACGGTTTGTCTTATGGCTACCAGACTTCTCTAGAGTGGCTTTTAGCATCTGCAAACTCCTTTTTTCAGAACGTGTTCTGCCTTTCGGTTCTAAAGATCGTTGCTTTCTCAGCTGCGAGTACAATTTCTCAAAGATACTGTAAAAACATCTCATGGGTAACTCATGACTCTGAGATTCAGCTGGCTAGAGAAACAATGAGTGATAATACAATGAGAGAGTTGCATTTGAAACTCGCTCAGGTCAGACTCACCAAGCAGTACAAGCCTTTGGAAGCTGATGACATTACAATCCTGCTGCAAAGGGCCAGAATTAAAGGCAAGGCATTTATTTTCATGAAAGATTTCATCGGCCACCTTGTCTTTGTAACACTGCTATTGCATTTTGCCTACTACACCGAGAACACCAAGTGTCTCCACTACAACCTGTTCATCCGTAACCAGTTCTCCCCACGACTGCCCAGTGTGGATAGGCTAGAACATATCTATGTGTGGCTGAAGGACTCGTTCTCAACTTTGATCCACAGTGACATTCAGCCAACCTTCCTTGCCAATAGCCAGTCCAAAATCCTTGGTTTGCCTAGGATGAGGCAAGTGCGGGGTAAAGGGACTGAGACAAAATGTCTCCATCCTCACAGCTTTGTCAAAAACTTTGTGACCAGGAAGAGGCACTGTCTTCACAGGTACGGCAGTGACACCCCAGAGACAGGTGACTATGCTGGCACTTGGACAAAGATTGCCAACCAGTCTGCACCCAAGGATGCCAGCAGTTATGGGGGGTTCACCTACCAGCAACCCAGGACTCCGTGGATGTATTACTCCTATGGAGATTTGCACAGATATGGACCAGGAGGATACACATTTTACTTTTTCCCTGAAGAAGGAAGACCTAATTCAACGACCAGGCTGGATGCTCTGCAAGAGAGCAACTGGCTTGATGAAAAGACGTGGGCCGTGATCGTTGAGCTAACTACATTCAACCCAGATGCAAACCTCTTTTGCACCATCTCAGTCATATTTGAATTGTCTCCTTTGGGGATCATAAATCCAAGTTTGTCAGTACACTCTTTTGCACTCCCCATTTTTCATCACCAATCCATAGCTCAAATGTCTGTGTTTGTAATTGCTCTTGTCTTTCTGAGCCTTTACATTGCAGATGAGCTTCACATCGTATGCCAAGAGAAAAAAGATTATATTAAAAACATTCCCAATACTTCCAGCATCGGCTTAAAATCAGCATTCCTCTTTTTTCTTTGTTTAAAGATGATCAAATTTAAGATGGGAGAAGAGATAGTGAATTTTTACTTGCTTCACGCAAAGGATTTTGCTCCTTTTCACGTAGTTTCTAATTTAGATCAGCTTTTAAGGATTACTCTGGGGTTTTTAACATTTTTTGCCATTTTGAAAACGCTGAAATATTTTCAGATCTTTTATGGTGTGCGCCTGGCACAAAGAGTCGTCTTGGCAGCCCTTCCTGAAATCTCCTCCATGGCCCTCCTGATGGGGGTGTTCCTTTTTGCATTTATGGCTTTTGGCTACCTTGTGTTTGGGCAGCACGAGTGGAATTACAGTAACATGGCTCGCTCAGCTCAGACCATCCTCTCTTACTGTGTTGCAGCTTTCAGAGATACCACATTCTCCTCCAACAGGCTGCTGGGCGGCCTCTTCCTGGCCTCTTTCGTGGTGGTGATGACCTGTGTCCTCATCAATCTCTTCCAATCTGTTATCATCTCTGCCTATGGACGTATAAAACAACACGTATATGAAGAACCATCTGATGAAGCACAAGTGGCTGCTTTAGTGTTGCAGTGGCTCAGAAGGAAATAGCACCTTCTGACCTGGAAAACACCCAAACCCAGTGAGCCTGATCACACAGCGCACTCGGCGGGCAGCCGGGGAGAACACAGCAGTGACACTGAGGGCTCAGGAAGAGGAAGATAAACAGGAAAAAAAGATATTGTACTCAAGACCAGTTTTATTCTGTTATGTTTGCATATAAAATAAATGCTTATAGATTATTGACTTTTAAGACTTTTTTTTTTTTTTTTACATTCAACCCCTCACTCATGATTGTGTTTAGATTTTCTCCAGGCTATTTTGCATCAGTGTCAGTGGTGCTTGGCTGTCACACATACCTGCCAGTTTCCAAGTAAAAGTAACTTAAAAACCTTTCAAAAAGGAACACATCTTTGCTCTCTCGTCAGCAAACCGTGTGTCTGGGATCTGCAAAGGGGTTCTCAACCCCTGCTTGGCTTGGAGTGGCAAAAGTTTAAAATCTGTGATTCCCACCTCTAGAGAGCCTGACTCACTAGAGCAGAAGTTAAACTGAGTGGAGGAACCTTCCCCTTCAAACTGCAGAAGTACAAATACTTGGTGCTCCTGTTTTTAGACTGTTGGAAAGTGTGGCACTAAGTTTAGGTTGTGCTTGACCAAGCTGATACTTTGAATGATAATGTGTGGCCCTCCAAAACCACAGGAATCATCCTCACTGGTCTATTAATAGGGACTTACCAACTTCCTCTTCCCCACTGTGGATGTTAATCTAACAAAGCTGCAACAGGGAGCTACAAACTGGAAGGAAGACAAAATCGGTCCAGAGCAGGGGGTAATCTGTGGCCTTAGCATGCTTATTTATTGTGGCTAGACCAGGAGGGAGATTTCATGAAATCACACTCCAGGTCTGGTTTCCCCATTTTGGTAAGGAATAACTGTGCTCCAGAACTGATGTTCACTCACTGAATTCGAGACTCATCCTTTTTCAAGGCCATGAAATAGTTAAAAAACAACAACAACAAAGAAATAAACCCATCATCTAATTTCTTTTGAATTAGGTAAATAAGCTGCTTTTTTAAAACAGCCTGTGATATTAAAATCAGAACACAGGGAGTGCATCAAGAACGCTCTGCATTTTTGCAGAACTTGTTACATGATGTAATCAGCAAGTGTCAAAGATGAGCAAAGCTATAACCTGCACCTGCCTCCAGTCCTTTTGGTATTTCAGTTTTATAGCAGAAAAATACTATTTTTTCTGCCCATTTTGCTGATGCAAATACTATTTCTAGCCCTGACTTAAACATAAAAACCCCAAATCCTCCCAATCCCCAGAAAAACCACAGCAACATCCTCCACACACTTTTAAAACCAGAGAGTAATGAGACCTCTCTGTAAGTGAGGCTAAACATCCCAAATTCTGCAACTATTTCTAACCCTGACTTAAACATAAAAACCACAGCAACACCCTCCACACACCACTTTTAAAACCAGAGAGTAATGAGACCTCTCTGTAAGTGAGGCTAAACATCCCAAATTCTGCAAAGCAAAATACACGAGCAAGTTACACGGTGTCTTCCATGAGAGGTGCTGAAAGGGTAAGTGACATTGCTAGGGGTAGAGTTGAATCTTCAAGTAACAGATAAACATTTCCATTAAAATTACTCCCTCACACAAAGAAAAATGTTAAAATTCACCACCTTAAAGAACAAATACGCAGTGCTTACCTCCACAGCAAATGAGGACAGCAACAAAAAGGGATATATTGCTATCATCCAACTCCTGTGCCTTGAATTTCATTGCAAAATCCAGTTTGGGCTCCGTTGTATCACAGAATGGTTCTCTCAGGCTTTTCAGCAGCTCCCAGGTTATAAATCCATTTCCACAGGCTACCAGCATCCCGTCCCAGATGCTAACACGGCACAAAGAGCTTCATAAACTCCACATTTTATCATCATTTAAGTTCAGGATAGGTTTGTCAAATTCAGCAGGTTCTGTGACAGCCTCTACAGGTGTACACTGGCAGCAGAAAATTTGAACTTCTGCTTTTTAGTTCCCAGGGCCACTGGCTACGAATTTTGCCACCAGGGTCTTCTCTGCCACGCACAAGGTATCTGTATCATGTATAACAAATGGCTACAGGGAAAAAAAACCACTAATGCAGTTACAAAATAACAGTTCTTAATCACTGGTTCCCTAACGAATAGGAGTTCTGATTAACTTTCCCGCTGATCAGTCTTCAGCTACCAATCAACCAGGAGTTCTTTCAGGTTTCTGCACCACCAGAAACCAGGTGTTACATCACTACCAATGGTGGTATCTGAGGACAAGAGCTGCAAGCAACAATGCCAACATGAACATGAGAATAGTTTTATGTAGGGGTTATAGTGAAGATCCAGATGTCCTGTGCTTAGTGTGCATATACCCATCTCAGAGCAAGTCCCAGAAGGTTCACAAAAGAACCTTCTTTCTCCAGAAGCCTGGGTCATTCTGCCCAACCAAGCAGTGGGCCGTTGGATGCTTCAGCTGTACCAACTGGTGAATGTTAACATTTATCTCCTCCTCACTGGGTTGCATTCCCAAACTGCCTGTCTCCAAGAGCCCTCCAGTCACAAGGCAACGGCTACGAGCCGTAAGAGTCACCACCAAGGACAAAGCAGCATTTGCAACAAACGTACAAATCATTTATTGAAAATTCAAAACTCAGGGATACAAACAAAACGTTGAACAAACAATAAATCCAGAAATGTAAACTCTCATAGAAAAGATATGAGCTGTAGGGATTTAACCACTCACCGTTCCACAAAGGAAACGGTGAGAAGCAGAAAGACAAACCAATGCCTAATTGTTGTTTGTTTTTCAGATTCTAGTTCAGAGGTAGAATACTACTGTGAAAGACCCCATAAAACTCCTTTCAGCAGAATTATGCTACAAGTGAATTTGGCCCATGTACTTAGAAAGGTAATGAAGCCAGAATAGAAGTTTCTCATTGAGAGCTCTTATACAATAAAATTTGGCACGGCACTTTCCAAGAGATCAAGCACCCTTCCTGATAAATACTGGCTCATGCTTTTGTGAGTGAAGCATCCTCTGCTTTTTCCATTACTGACATAAGGAAAGCATTTAAAAACACAAAGTCCCCAATATTTGGCAGGCATATAGAAGGAGTTTCTCAGTACCTTGTCCTAGAAAGCCAAACTGGAGGGAAAAAACAAACAAACAAACAAACAATGAAAAACGGCTTTTTGAAAGACTTAATGAATCTTGATGCTTACTTATTTGGGTGGCAGTCCTCAGGGGGGGAGGGGAGGGATTTAATACAATAGGGGGAAAACCCCACCTCCTTTCCACTAGCTAAAGGCAGGGGAAGTGACCAGTTTTTACATTTTACTGTCATTCTGCCAGTCTCCACTAAACGCTACAATTCTATCCTCTCAGGAAAAAGCTACCTGTGTAAGACACACTCTAACATCAAGTCCAATAAAAAAGTACCCAGGTAGTCTCAAAGGAATGTATCTTCTATTTTTGTTCATCCAACAACCTGCTATAAATAGAAATTAAGACTGAGTTGTTCAGACAATAGGTACAAATTCATAAAAACCAGGAACAATTTTGAAGCTCGGTGATGTACAAACATTCAGGGAAAAAAAACACCAACATTTATGTTTTGTATATACATTTATGTTTTTTATATTTGGCTACTAAGTGCACTATTGAAATAGCTGCATGCAAATAGTAGAATCCAGGGTAGTTTAAGTAACTTAACTATATACAAACTGTTAGGCTTCTACAAGTTACTTTCACAAGGACTTCCTCAAGGATTTGCTGAAAGGTATTCATGCTTTAGAAGCAACAAAATCAAACTTGCAGTCTTAATACCTTCTTGCTTTGTGGTATCTCCAGAACACTTGTGGAGATGCAGAGGAGAAAAAAAACTCAGCTCAGACAGCCAGTTCACAAGGACTCATCTTGAGCATGACCCTGTCTCTTTTAAGGAAATGAAAGCAGAGTCAGGACAGTGTTCAGTACCTTTAAAAAATTCCATCCTTGTCATACATACTTTGTTTATAAAATAGCACCACAGGGGAGCAGTCACCACAAAAACCTCACCCCAGTACAGTTGCTGCATTCATTCAGCAGCTAAATCTCCCTTTCATAGAAGGATGGTTCTAGGTATGAAGAGTCGTGACCATTAAACTCAGTTCATGGAATAAGGCAGAAACAGGAATTTACTAACTGTCACCAATGAGGCACTGCCTTCTATTTTTCTTTTGGAAGGAAGTTATCTAACAGAGAGGAATCAATACAATCCAAATGCCTTTAAAAACCCTTGAAACAGAAATGGGAAAAGGCCTGCTTTCATGGTATTCTCCTGCCTTTCCAAATACCATCTGGAGTGCTGTCTATCAACTGCTGCATGTGGTAGAAAAAATGCACTTTTAATAAAGAATGCATTTTTCCTACTGCATTCTTATCTTTCCTGTAATCCTATGAAAGATGAAAAGTGTAAACTACAAAAATAATTGGGAGAAAAATGAAATAGGAATGATAAGAGTTGGTGTGACCATCTCAGACTAAACCTGAAAACACACAAAGGCATTTCCACCTTCCTCCTTGTCCCTACCTTCAGAAAAGCAGGCAAGAGTCATTTCTGCCATAGCCCTGCTGAGAAGTGTTTGCACATGCCAGCCACCTCACCTGAGGCAAAGCTACTTGTGTGGCACCCTGCCAATAGTTGGTCTGAGCTATATTTGACTTTCCTGAAGCAAACTGAAGAAGCATTTAAACTGTACTCACGGCAGAGCTGACAACATGGCCTAACAAATAATCCTTTGGAATCTCTTCTCCCAACACTGGAGGATCAGCTCAGGACAAAGTAAAGCAGACATGCTTTCCTTCTACAAAGTACATTCTTCTGCTGAGTATGAAGCCTTGCAAAAGGAAAATGCTGAAAGACACACAATTATTAATACAGGAAATTTTCAGCTGGAGATTTTCATAGATTAGGCCTTCTGATCCTTTATGAAATTTCCACCTTCTCCAAAGGGAGCCCTGCA